CCCCAGTCCTTCTTTTTTTCCCCTTTATTTGTTGAAAAATGGGATTATGAAAATACTTCAAAAAGTTTGTTGGATAAATAGAATTAAAAAGTAACACGAATCTTTCCATGAACTTTTTGAAGTACCCTCCTATGTTCTGTAGTGTATCCTACAGTCAGGATTTTGCTGATTGCATTTCTGTTATAGTTTATTATGTTCTTCTGTTCTCTTCATATCTTGTGACTTAGTAGGTTTGATCATATTCAGGTTCAATTTATTATTTATATATTTTTGGCAATGTTATTTCATAAATGTTCTTTACTGGGGACATATATTGTCTGGATATCTCTTATATTTTGATGTTAATAGCAGTCAGCGCTTAATGCCTGGATCTATTAATTCATTAGGAGATAGAAGTGATAATCTAAAACCATTTTTCTTCCTTTATTAGTGGAATCTGACACCTTGACTTTAGTCTCATGCTCTACCCAAGTGAGCTAACTGGCCAGCCCTATTAGATGAATAGTTTTATAAGGAGAAATTTCTCTTTATCTTCTATTTGATTGCCCAGTAGTACATTCATATAGGAAAGTGAGGATAAATGCTTGATTCTCCCCTTTATTTACCAGTTTTCGTAATTGAGTGATTTTCTATTATCCTTTAAAGGTTATCACTTAGGTTTTCTTACTATTGTGAACTCTTAGATTTATCCATTTTATGTGTTTTAATCCATTGTGGTTATTATTTTTATTGACTCAATTTGTCACATCTTTGGTCAGTGGGAACATCTTTTAAAAAGCCTCGTTAGACCTTTTGGACATAATCCCAGTAGTTTTTGATAGCATGACAAGATGCTCCGAGCTTATCTTGTACATTTCCAACTCCAGACCTGGAATCAATAATTTCTTTAAGGAACCTGGTTTAACTGGAAACAGAATTTCAAGAATATAATTTGTTTGCTCTGGAAGTTTCTTGCTACTGGGTTAGTTGTTGTTTCTAAGCTTTTTTTGTGAATGGGACTAGGAAATACCAAGTATGTTTGTCTGTATGCATATTTGTATGTATATGCTTTTTGTAAAAGATAAACTACCTGCTGAATTAAAAATATTCCCAAGTACTGCATTTTAAACCTTATCTCTTCTGTCGTTCATCTCTATGTCCTTTCTTACATATTTGAATCCTGATTTTTAAAGACACAAAAGGGTGATAGAGTAAGGGTATCACATAATTACTCATTTGCTAATTTATTCCACTTTTATGCACATAATAGCTTTAGTTTAGAAAATCAAGCACCATCACAATACGATTACTGGAAAGTTGCTTTTTTGGGGGCATATGGTCTCCTTTTTTAATGGTTGTATTATATCTACATTGTTAGAACACATGTTTGTTAAACACCGTGTACTCCTTTAAAACCATTGTTGAGTTTCAGTTCTGCAAAAATATGTATTTCTGCTCACTGATACTGACATTTCTTTAATCATTGTGGATATCTGAGGCTTGTTCTCTAGTAGATTCTTGTTCTCTTTTTCCATGTTGATAACCCTTTTCTGTCTTTATACTTGATATTTAGCTGGGTATAAAATCTTTGGTTCATGTTTTCTTTCCTTGAGTCTTAAATATATTACTTTCTTTTCTTTTCTTTTTTTTCTTTTTTCTGGCATAAAGTGTTGCTTTCAAAGGGATGACAGTCTGATATTATTTTCCTTATAAAATATCTGCTTTTTGGCCTAGATGCTAAAAGGATATTTTATTTGCCTGTTAAATTCAGTAATTTTACTAGACTGTATCTTAGTGATGGTCATTCTGGGTCAATTTTTCTCCTGTATGTGCTGTGGTTTCACGTTTTTTTTTTTAAGTTCAGGAAAGTTTTCTTGAATTAAAGCACTTTTTAGTGTTCTTTTCCCTTGCTTTCATTTTCTTTGTTATATGTATATTGACTTTTCTTTTTCTGTGTTCTAAATTTGTGGTATTTCTCTTAAAACATTTTTATCGTTTTTGTCCTTTTTGATTTTTTATGTTTTTTCCTTTTTCTTTTTTATTTCTTTTAAGTCATTTAAAAAATTCTATTGTCTTATGATTCTTCTAATTTAGTCTTCCTTTCTGAAATGATTTTGGCTTTTATTTATTTATTTATGGCAGCTGGCTGGTTTGGGGATCTAAACCCGTGACCGTGGCACTCTAACCAAATGAGCTAACTGGCCAGTGTGGCTTTTATTTTTAATGATTTTCTTCTATCACCTGACTTCAGAATTTTTCTAATTCTGATTCATGTTAGTCTTTGTATATAACTTGTTTTGAAATATTAGTTTATAGCTTTCAGCATTTTGGGAAGCGTGTTTTTCTTATGTGCTTTTCTGAAGGGATGGTTTCTCTCTCTTTTTTTAAAATCTACTTTGTGTGGGACTAAGGCTTGATCCTTTCTGTTGCTGAGTTTTATATGTAATTAGTTTTTCTTTATGTGCAGTTAGTTTTAGATGGTGTGGTTTAGGTTGACTGTCATTCTCTAGAGCTCCTTCTTCATTTGTTCTGTGTATTTCCAAAATATGGAGGCTAATTCATAGATCCACTTTTATTTGAACTTTATTTTTCCTTTATTTGTATTGTCTTTGAGATTGTCACTCTGGATTCCATCCCCGGCAGCTTCTCAGCCTGAGCCTTTGACCTGGGATGTGTATCTGATTAGTTTTGGGAGTTGGAGAGTCCAGCCTGCTCCAGCCTCTTTTGATCTTACCATGGGCCCCTGGCCCTCACCCATAGTGGAGTGGCAGACCCTTCCTAGTTTTAGCTGCTGTCTTTACAATGTCTTTTGGGCTTTGTAAGAAGTAGCTCCTAGTGATTTTGGTATTCACAGGTTCATCAGAGGCACCATACTTCTTTCTGCTTCCTTTTTTACATTTGCTGACACCACATAGATATTGTTGCTTTCTATGGTTTGTCTTTACCCAGTTACATTTTGAGATTTGTAAAGATAGAGGATGCTGTCCCCTAGTTTTGTTATAGATGATATCCATGGGTTTTGAATTTTGCTCTCCAGTTGTACTCCGTGGTTTTATGGGGGAATTCAGGGAGATTAAACAATTGTGCTGCTGTTGCAACTGTGTTCAGTATTAACCTTCAAGAGCAGTGATTTTTATAAGAGTATTCAATTGACTGACAGCAATGATGTTCTGTGGGACTATTTTTAGGAAGGAAAGTCATCCAAACCTTAATTATTACAGTTAGTTTCAATTACAATTGGCTACAGAAATAAAACTAAAAATAAAATCAAGCAGCTTTATTTTGAGGAGAAACACGATTTATTGACCACATGTATATTGATTGAGTAGATGCTGAGCCAGAATATTTCATTTAAAATAATGGTATCTTTGTCACTTCTGGAAAAGAAGTCTAGAAAAGCACAAAGATTGTCCAGTCACTATTTTGAGTTACAGAAAAATTAAAAAATATATATTTTTTCACTTATTTTAAGCTGTTTGGACTACTATAAGGAAATGATTAAGTAGGAGATTATTGTGATGATTTAATAAAGTTGGATAAAATTCAAAGGCCATCCATTTTAGTATTTGAAGTACTGTGTGTTTTATTTATTTTACTTGGTCTAATACCATAAGTGTAAGATGACCTTTTTTGATATTTTGAGTACGGGCTATTGTGATTGGCACTGTAGTTCCATTCAGCAAGATTTTACGGTAATTAAAAACATTAATTAAGAGAATTAATGGTTTTAAAGAAATAACAGAGGCACATTTAATTATATTGAAGATGTTTTTTTACTTTAGCAAAGATTTAGACAACAAAGATGCATTAGTGTTTTGTAGGAAAAAACTAAATTTAAAAATCCTTTTTGTTAAATTAATAAAGAACATTTACACATGTGCATTTCGTGTGTGTGTGGGGTGATGGTGGATGGGTATTTGCTAAAAAAAATTCAGTCTAATGTAGTTTGTATGTACTTAGTGTTAAGTTTCAGACTACTTATATAATGTAAATTGTCACATCTTAACAGACTTCCTTCATCTGAATAGCCATTTCATATATTGTAGACTATCTTAACTTGTGACTTTATTAAGATTAACTGGTATCGTACCTGTGAATCCAGGTCTTTTGATTACAGTCCAGTGCTCTTTTCACAGCAAAATACTGCTTTTCCTAAATGTAATACTAAACTTACATGTCAGTGAGAAAAGTGAATTGAGGGTTGGTCATCTCAAAGGGGAAGCATAGGAATGCTGGGTGTCACCAGCTTTGCCTTTTCTGTGAACCCAAATGACTAAACAGTCACAATTTTTCCTTGTCACTCTTGAAAGATGTGCTCCTTCATTATACTGACTTCTGTAATTGTGGAGCCTGTTGGTGGGCCTTTGGAGCCAGGTAGCTATCAGTGCAAATTTCTGTTGTTCCACCACTTACTAGCTTGCTGAGCTTTAGTTTCCTCATCTATAAAATGTGGATGCTATTTAATCTTCACAAGAGTTGTGAGGGTGGATGGGAACCTATGTAAAGCATCTACTATTGTGCCCTAAGTATCCTTGCCTTTTCCCCTTATGTTAAATTAATAGTCTTATATTTTCCATCTCTGTACTGTGTACTTACCACATCAGTATTGACCTTTATAAACTCCTCATTGCTTTTTTATAAATTGTGCATTCTAAGTGGATGTACCTTTCCCCTTCAACTTCTGAGAGCAACAGAGAGCAATTAATTTCTTTTCTTCTTTTTTGTCAAATAGCATTTTTAGTTATAGATGATATTATACCACTGGAACTTAAAACCAAGTATTTACTTAAGTTGTTATACAGATCATTTTACTTATTGTCTCCTCTCCAAAGGTGAGATAATCAAGTAGGATTTCAGCCACTATAAAGCAGAATTAACAGGTATCTTGTATTTAAGTTTTCGGGAAAGTAGGAATTTGAACAGTATCTGTGTTGCATAGAAATTTTTCTTAGGGAAAAATGTTTTGATCTCTTCTAAGATTGTTAATTCTGATTGTTGCTTTGTTTTACATTATAGTGGAAATGCCTCGTGTAAAAGCAGCTCAAGGTGGAAGACAGGGCCCTGCAAAGAGACATCTTGCAGAAAAGTTTGCAGCTGGGGAAATTATAACTGACATGGCAAAAAAGGAATGGAAACTAGGATTACCCATTGGCCAAGGTGGCTTTGGTTGTATTTATCTTGGTAAGTATATGGCTACTGCTAATTGCCAATCCAAATATTTATATGCTTTCTTATCACAGTGGTTTCTCAGTTATGAGCTATTACAGGATGTTCTTAATAATTTGCAGTCAATATTCTTTGATTAAGTGAAAATGCATCTCTGACATAGGAGTGGAAAAGAAGATTGTTAATTTAAACATAACATAAAATGAGGATAAAGAGTCTGTAATATTGTCATTAGTGAGCACTATGGTTTTAGATTTTTAAGATATTCTATATAATCTTAATCTCTTGAGAGCCAAAGAAAGCCATGTACATCTTTCCTCCCCCATCTCCACCAAGTTAGGATTTATTTCCTGTGGGTTTATCTAATTTAGAGGTTTGCATATCTTTTATAGGTGTGGATTTTTTTTTTTTTCTATACAACCTTAATAGTTGTCATAGTGGAATTAGGGGAATGACCTAGAAATTGCATATTAGGTCTGAGTAAATGTACTGTTAAGTAGCATACTTACACTGAAATTTTTGTGGGCCTGTATTAGTCCATTTTGTGTTGCTATAACAGAATACCCGGGACTGGGTAATTTATAAAGAGCAGAGGTTTATTTGGCTTACGATTCTGGGACAGCTGCATCTGGAGCAGGCCTTGGGCTGCTTCTACTCATGGCAGGCAGCTGGTGGGTATAAGCAGATCACATGGTGAGAAGAAGCAAGAGAGAGAGAGGAAGTACTAGGGTCTTTTTAAACAACCAGCTCTCTCGGGAACTAATAAAGCGAGAACTCATTCCCCAGGGAGAGCATTAATCCATTCGTAAAGGATCCGCCTCTGTGACTCAGCTCCCAACACTGCCACACTGGAGATCAGATTTCCACATGAGTTTGGGGGGGACAATAATATCCAAACTCTATTAGGACCCATTGTAAAATCCTGAAATTGTGTAAATAAACTTAATTATTGACTTAAAAAATATCTTGCCTGATTGCTTCTAATACTGTCTGCTTCAGTAGTAAGAATATCGGTGGTGGTACAATGCAGTTCATGTTTGCTTGTTTTATTTCTGTTTAACTTTTCCATTCTGTGTTCTTACTCCACCTTTAATCTTGATTTAATCATTTAATTTCTGTCATGGAGGTTTATAAAATTTTATTTTTAGCAGTAGAGTTCTTTCTTTCAAGCAATATCTTACTCAGAATATGAATATTATGGCATAGATTAGTGTTACCTGGAAACTTGTTAGAACTGCATATTCTTGGCCCTATCCCAGACCTATGAATGAGAAACTGGAAGGAGAGGGCTAAGGAGTGTGTTTGAATAAGTCCTTCAGCTAATTCTGATGGATGCATAAGTTTGAGAACCACTCTTACTCAAGAGAGCTCACACTTAACCTTCTCCAAGACCAATGGGCTGCAGTTGGTCAGCTGCAGTCTTTGGGGCTGTTTTAATGAAGCATAGCTTAAAAACCATTTCTTTACAATACTTTATACATATGATTCCTGTGGGTCAGTGGCACCTACGTTTGGGAAATATGTTGATTCTTTGGTTTTGTTGAGAGCCAAACCCGTTCCAGTGAACGAGGCTATATCTGACTTAACATGAAATTCCTCATAAACCATGAAAAAGCAAGTAGCCAGGTGTATATATTTTTGACTTTGTGATTTAGAGGAAATGGTAGATTATAAAACCTGTTTCCACTGTAGGATGTGCAGACTTATGACATCCTATGTTAGTGGGAACTTGTCTCTAAACAAGTAGGTTCTTCATTTTACATTAATTTGCTTTTATAACGTTTTGCAAATTTGGGACTTTGCATGTGTGCTAGCCATTTTATTTGTATTTATCATCAAAAGGTGCCTTCTAATAGTAAGTGTTTTTAATATCCAATTGTTTGACAGATTTCTGTAATAAAACTTTACTTCTGTAAACCTGGGTTGACCAATCTGGAGAAAGAGGGATTTGCTTGAGAATTGCTGCTTCCATTTATCTCTCTGTGCCCACTGGTATCCTGATACAGCCATGTTCAACATCATCAGCTATTTCTGTTAAGGAATTAAAAGATTGCTTTTGAATTTTCTTTGAAGTTTTTTTTTTTCTACAGCGTTTGATACTCTTTATCTTTTTTTCTCATAAATATTGCTTTCATTGTCTTCCATGATACATACCTTCCCCTTAGCTTTTTTCCTACCTCTCTGGCTGCACCTACTCATGTTTGTTGGTACTTCTATGTTCTTCAGCTTTTCTTACTTTTCTCACTTTTCATTCTGTATATTCTCTCTGGGTGATCTCATTGATCTCATGGCTTTTGTTACTGTCTCTTTACTGTTGATTTCTATATGTTTTACCTGTAGCCTAGGACTTAATCCCCTGAGTCCAGGCAGATAGCCAGTGGTACACCGTATCTCTACTTAGATGTCCCGCAGGGATGTCTAAAACTTATATCATCTTCCATCTCCTGATCCTCTTATGATCAGGAGAGGATTGTCTGAATATATGACACCTTTCAAGCCAGAAAGGCATTCTTGAATATTCCTTTACTAATATCCCTAGAACCTCATCTAGTCCTATTTCTTTACCTGTGTGACTTCCAGGTCCATTCATTTCTCTCTTTGCTGCCACTATGGTAGGTCAGGTCATTACCATGTCTTGTTTGGACTCTTAACCTGTAACACTCAATCTTACTTCTTTGTACCCCATTGTTCACAGTGTGGCTTGAATGACCTAGCATGCTCAGCAGATCATAGGACCATCCTATTTAAACTCCTTTAATGGCTCCCCAGTGCCTTTAGAATAAAGTGCCAAAGTTTTAAGAATGGCATATAAGACCTTTCATATGTAACTTTTGTCTTTATCTCTTTTATCTCCTTAGAATCTATGCTTCGGCCATCATGCTGCCCTTTGTTTCTTGATCTTTGTATATGATGCTTTAAAAAATTTTTAAATAGGGGCCGGCTCGGCTCCGGGATATGTGGAAAAAGCCAGCGGGGAAGGGGGAGGCCTCCCGAACCCCACGATCATACCTGACAAGTGGTCATAAAGCAC